GACCAGAGACCTGCAGACCCCCTACAGACCTGCAGACCCCCTAAAGACCTGCAGACCCCCTACAGACCTGCAGACCCCCTAAAGACCTGCAGACCCCCTACAGACCTGCAGACCCCCTAAAGACCTGCACACCCCCTACAGACTGAGAGACATGCAGACCCTCTACAGACCTGCAGACCCTCGAAAGGCCTGCAGACCCCCTACAGACCTGCAGACCCCCTAAAGACCTGCAGACCCCCTACAGACCTGCAGACCCCCTAAAGACCTGCAGACCCCCAACAGACTCCCTACAGACCTGCCGACCCCCTACAGACCTGCAGACCCCCTACAGACCCACAAACCTGCAGACCCCCTACAGACCCACAGATCTGCAGACCCCCTACAGACCTGCAGACCCTCGAAAGGCCTGCAGACCCCCCACAGACCCAGAGACCTTCAGACCCCCGACAGACCTAAAGCCCCCCAAGCAGACCTACAGACAGACATGAAAGCCCAGAACAAACCGTTCAAGACATTTTAGGTTCTGCAGAATCCTGGTCCAGCAGACTGGGTTCAGATGAGTTCCAGTTATAATAAAAAGTCCAGTCAGACCAGGACCTGGATCTCCTGGACCATCAGTCTCAGGTGTTAGATTAACTCTGCTGGTCCTCAGACTGTTGATCAGTCCGTGTTTGAGCAAGACAAGAAAACCAGGTGAGACGTTTTACCTGAGCTCGGTCTGCTGTCAGGATCCAGCTGGTCCTGTGACGGGTCCGGGTCCAGTCGAAGATCCTGGATCTGTTGGTCCAGCTGGTGGAGCTGAGTGATCAGAGCAGCATCTCTTCTCCTCACACGGTTCTGACATAAACAACAGCTGAATTATAAAACGACTCAGACCTTACATCAGCCGAAACTCTCAACTGACATCAGCCGAAACTCTGAACTGACCTTAGATCAGCTAAAACTCTGAACTGACCTTAGATCAGCTGAAACTCTGAACTGACCTTAGATCAGCTGAAACTCTGAACTGACCTTAGATCAGCTGAAACTCTGAACCTGACTGTAACTGTTTGATCCTTTGTGAAGTTATTTATGAACACATCCATCAGAGGCTAGCTGCAGCACTTCCTGTACATCCTGGGACACTTCCTGCAGGAGTTTCAAAATAATTTAATGTTCTAATATAACATTTGTAGAACTCTGATAGTTCTGTTAAAAATAAAATTAAATTAAAAAGTCATTATTTTAACAAATAAACTCAGTTATAAACACATTTTTAATTCAGTTCTTTTTAGTTTAATTATTATTTTAATTTAAGCATTATTTTTGTTTAATTGTAATTAAATTACCGTCCCGGTTCCGTCTGGGCTCAGCAGACGGCTCGGAACCTACCAGAACCAGGATGTTCTCCTCAGAGTCCAGCTGAGCCTCCTGGACCTCCTCCTCCTGCAGGGCGGTCCGGACCAGCAGCTCCTGTCTCTGCCGGAGGAAGTCCAGTTCTCTCAGCACCAAGCCGATCAGATCCAGCCGGTCCCGAACCGAGCCCTGTCGCTCTGGATCCTGCCGGTCCGGAGCTCGGTCCCGCCTGGAGGGTTCGGACTGCTGCATGTGTCTCTCTGCAGGGTTACCTAGATCCGGACTCGGTGGAGTTCTGGAGCATCGTGGTGAGACCAGAACTCTTGCAGACCCTCACCTGAACACAAATCCKGTTCCGATCCAAAACCCACTCCCAGCCTGCTGGTAACGGTTCTGCAGCTCAGTCCGGGTCCAGATGAATCCAAGTCCTTCAGGTCTTTGTTCGGGTTGGACCCAACCCGGACCAGAACCACCGGTGAGAAACTAGACCAGATCCTGACCCACCATCAGCTCAACCCAAATCCTCTGGACCCACTGACCCACCCTCCGACTGAAACCGCTAAACCCCGCCCCCTCWCACCAGGACACACCCAACAGAGTGACGTCACCAAGAAATAACATTTCTTTTACTGGCCTGTCCTTTCAAAATAAAATATTGTATTGTTAGATTTTAACAGCCAATCAGCTGATCCAGTCCTCCAGTCCACATGGTCCAGCTCAGACCTGATCTGGTTTGAGTCCAGCTCAGGCCTGTAAAAGGCACAGTGGTGATGGAGGAGGAGTCAGTGTTGCCATGACAACAGAGGTCATCATTTATTGTGTTCCTCGTGAAGGAGGTGTGTTTCAGATCAATTTATCTCATGTTTTATCATTTAGTTCACCTTCATATTTATTTTTTCTAGCTTAGTTCCGATAAATTATATATTTTGAAAATAATTTACATTTTACTTAAAAACAATATATAATTTGTTTTTCTTTTTACTTGTACATGCATCTGTGTCTCTTAAATGAATATATATATATATTTTTATAATTTTAAGTCTTTATTTCCATGTGTTTTTACATTTCTGCATCAGTATGTAAATAATGTGGGCGGAGCTTCTTGGGTCAGCTCCTCTCCTATTGGTCAACCGACAGGAAGGAGCAGGATCCAT